GATCATTATCCAGTTTCTTCCTTATGCCCCTCCCCTGCAGTCTGTTATTTTTTTACCAAAAGAAATCTTTTAAATTGTCTCTGAACCTACAGAGATAATAGACGCCAATGGTAGGGATGCCCCTGACAATGTGTAATTTCATTTTCTGATTGGCTGGGGCAAGCTTAGATTATCATGTTTGGTTAATTGGTACTCCCTCTATAGACAGGTGTACAAGCAAAAAATATTACAGGAAGCAACAAGGAGAATAGTTACCATTTACTGAATACCTTCAACACTCTAGGCACATGCTAAGCAATGTACGGACATCATTTGATTTAATCCTCACATATAGCAGGTACTATCATTATCCCCATTTTACAGATGAGGAGACTGAGACTTGGAGAAGGAAATTTGTCCAAGCTCAGACAGCCAGGAAGTGGCAGATCTAGAATTCAAAGGCAGGGACTCCCACTCCAAAGCCAGTGCTTTGACAGGGTACATTCTTCCGTTTTCCTGGATGAATTTCAGCCGCATTAGTGCTGGCAGTCTCTAGGATTCAGGGCCACATTAACTGATTTCAAACCCTTATTTGGGAACCAGGTACTGAAAGGCTCATTTGTAGTGAGAAAGTCAGACACCAGTTACAGAGGAGGTGGCTTGATCTCAAAGATGGAAGACAGACCCACCATTTTGCAAATGAAGAAATTAGGGTCCAGAGAGTATGCTGTTTCAGTTAGTTATTGCTATGTAACAAACCACCCTAAAATCGAATGGCTTAAACCACAAAACCATTTTATTGCTCCTGACTCTGTGGGCCAGAACTGCAGGCAGAGCTCAGCAGTCGTTTCTCAGGACTGTTTCATGTGGTGCTGGCCAGGCTAGATGGCTAGGGCCTGTCTCACACACTTGGGGCCTCAAGGTTGGCTACTGGCTCTCTGCCCAGCGGGACAGACTGGACTTTACGTGGTGGGTCAGGGGCAAGAAAGCAAAAGGCCGGGGCCCAGAACTGGAAGAGCAATCTTTCTATCTCCTTCCACTGGTCAAAGTCAGTCCCAAGGCCAGGCTAGATTCAAGGGGAGGGGAATAGATTCCACATTTCAAGGAGAGGAGCAGCATGTGCAAATAGAGACAGGCTGTGCATGGCCATCTTTGCAGACAGCACCACACACGATGACTTGTCAGTAGCAGATATCCAAGTGTTCCACCAATATTAGAGAAAATGGCACTGTGGCAGCTTTCCTGGAAGGGAAAAGACTCCCTTTAAAAACTATGCTCCATTTTGACTCTTTTGGCCCTAACAGGTCAATGTGGAGGGTATCTTAGAGGGGATCGGGGCTGGTTTCACTCATCTAATCCTGTGGATGATGAGGTTCTTGGGTGACCAGCTGAGTCCAGTGCCCACATCACACACTGTGAGGAGGGGTGGCACCTCCCTTAATGTGGGCAGTCTGCACATTCTCTTTGCCAAGAGAGAACTCTGGGCAAGGGCAAGAAGACGGGGGGTGTTGGTTCCACTGAGGTCACAGAGGGGAGGTGCCCAAGGATGTTGCAGAAGCTGCCACGTTGAGTAGGGAAGAGAAAACTAGCTCCATCAGCCCAAATGATCAGCCCAATGATCTAACAAAAAATGATCTAACATGGCCAGCCGGTGCACAGCGTTTAAGTGTGCACTTTCCGCTTCGGCGGCCTGGGGTTCGCCAATTTGGATCCTGGGTGTGGACATGGCACCGCTTGGCAAGCTGTGCTGTGGTAGGCATCCCACATATAAAGTAGAGGAAGATGGGCACAGATGTTAGCTCAGGGCCAGGCTTCCTCAGGAAAAAAAAAAAAAAAGAATATGCAACTATGTACCAAGGAGCTTTGAGGAGAAAAAGGAAATAAATAAAATCTTTAAAATAAATAAATAAATAAATAAAATTTAAAAATGATCTAACAAAAAAGAGATGGATGGCCTAGCCAAGAAGAAGTTAGTGAGAAAATAAAGGAATCTTAGGCCTTAATTAGCAGGGCATTTACAATCATTTTATAAAGCTCATCCACCCACCTGAGCAAGGAGCAAACACAAAAGCAACGCCAAAAGTAGGAAATACCTGGGAAGCAAAAATAAAGTGAATTCTGCCCAAATGAAAAATAATTCAGGGGCCGGCCCCGTGGCAGAGTGGCTAAGTTCCCACGTTCCGCTTTAGCTGCCCAGTGTTCACCGGTTCAGATCCTGGATGCGGACATGGGACTGCTTGGAAAGCCATGCTGTGGTAGGCGTCCCACATATAAAGTAGAGGAAGATCAGCAGGGATGTTAGCTCAGGGCTAGTCTTCCTCAAAAAGAAAAACAGAAAGAAAAGAAAAATAATTCAAACTCAGCAACTGTTAGAGCCAGAGGGAGCCTAAGAGATCAAATTTAGTCCAAACCCCACTATACAAATGAAAAAACTGAGGCCCACGATAAAACAGAGAAGTGAGGCGCCTGCCCCAGGTCCCACATCTCAGTTATTCTTGCATCAATAATGAGCACTTAGCACGCACTGATTAGGTGTCAGGCATTTTGGCAGGTGATGAGAACTCAAGGTGCAGGACACAGCCTTTACCTTCACAAAGCTGACTGTCCAGGGGAGGAGAAGGCCATGAAACCAACGATTACAAGACAATGTGGGGAACACCAAGCTAGCAGTGTTCACAGCGGACAGCGGGAGCCCAGAGCAGGGCGGCCCAAGGATCAGAGTTCCCTGTCTTAGCTTCTGGTCCCTTGCTATCAGAGTCCATGGGCTCTGCATAGAAGAAAGCTTGTTTGAAAAAATCCTGCCTACTGAGCTGCCCCTTGGAGCGACATTGGAACCCTATGGCTTAAAAGAAAGTGCAGTCTTACAATCTTATGTGCATCCAGAAGAGAAAATCCCCAACGGGCCTTGCATTTGAGCAGATCCTGACAGAGCATTCACTCCTCTCAAGACATGCATGACCTCACTGCACATGGTCCCCACCAATGGTCCCAAGGGAGGCCGTGAGGCAGAGCCTCGGACTTCCAAACCATTCACAGGGCCACCAAATGAGACATTCTGTCTGGAGTCTCAGGAGAGCCCACCCACGCCACCACCAGCATGCACAGTGGGCCCTCTACCAAGTCATAACATTGGTTAAAAACAGTGTTCAGATCCACCAGGAACCCAAGAGGCACTTTTCTACCTGCGTGATGGAGAGAGAGCACAGACGTGGGTGTTACTTTACTCTCTGCGCCTCAGGTTGCACCTCTGTCCAATGAGAAGAATAATAGTAGCAAACACTCATGGCGGGTTTGCTGTGTGTCAACCACTGATCCGAGGGCTTCATAGGTTTGCCTTGCTTAGTTCTCACAACAATCCTGCGAGTTAGTGATTATAACTCCATTTTACAGATGAAGAATCTGAGGTTGAGAGCTTAAGTCACACAGTTAGCAAGCGGGAAGGACAAGATTCAGCCCAAGGCGTCCTCTGGGCAAAGCCTGCACACTTAACTCTGCCTCAGGATTTCTGAGGGGAAATAAGACAGAGAAGTGAAGCTCCCCACGTGCAGGCAGTCCTCCCTCCTGCTTCCAGCCCCTTCCTGTACCTCTGGCTCCAGGGATGCTGACTCTCCGCGGCCCCTGCTCTCCAGCCTTCTGGGACTCTCACCATCCGCTCAGGTCACTCTTCCTGCCACCCTCAGTGTCTGCCTCCAGCAGACAGTCCCTTCCCCCAGGGACTCAGGCCTCCCAAGGGCCCACTACCCTCCTCAGGGCTCATGCTGACTCTCCTTGCCCCCCACCCCCTCCCTCCAACCCCGCCCCCTCTCCTTTCTGACCCCCCTGGGAGACAGGGGAGTGTTTTGGCTTCCAGCCCAGTCCTCCCATTAGGGAGCAGAGCGGGGAAGAGGGAATCTGGGAGACTTCTTCCTCTGCTTCTGTCATTCCTCGGCCTATACAGCCATGAGGGCGAATGGTGAGCTTAGCCATCCTAATATAGCTGATCGTCACTGAGCACCAGGTGCCTTCCAAAGATCATCTTATGTCATCCTCACCAGAAACTTGCAAGGTAAGTATCAGGTAAGTATCAGGCCTCCATTTTACACACAAAGAACCAGGGTCTAATTTCACCAAGCTAGGAAGTGGCAAAGGTGGGATTCAAACCCTGTCCATCTGCTCCAAGGCCCATGTCTTCTCTTGTACAACACAAGAGACAAGGTAGAGGGGCAAGGAGCCTTTAGCGTCTTGCAGCTCCAGATGTAGCTCTCAGACCAGCAGCCTCAGCATCACCTGGGAGCTTGTTAGAACTGCCCCTCCCCAGACCTACTGAATGGGAAGCTGCATTTTAACAAGAACCCAGGTGATTTCAGTGCCTACAAACGTTTGAGAAGCCCAGGTCTGGGTCCGTGGTCCCCAGCCCTGGCTGAACCTTGAAATCACCTGGGGAACTTTTCAAACTGCGGCTGCCCGGCTTCCACGTGGTTCTGATTTCATTGGTCTGGGTGCAGTCTGAGCATCAGGGTTTTTAAAAGCTCCCCAGATGATTCTAACGGGTAGCAACCTTCGAGAACCACTGGCAGGAGAAAGCTGAAGGCTGTAGAGGATGGATGCCACTAGCGACTTGCCATCAAAGGGGAACCGCGCGGGTGGATGTGACCAGCCGCAGGGAGGCCAGGGAAGACCCAGTAACAGGACAGTGACAGCCTGGGTTTCCTTCCTGTCAGTGCGCGTGGTTAGACAGACTCTGGCTGTGGAGGGACGCGGGGCAGGGGACTCCTTTTGCTGAACCCCGTCTGTCCGGACGCCGGGAAGGCCGCGTCAGGGGAGGTCCCGGCCGTGGCCCGCGCGGAGAGCCCAGCGCGGGGTCGGGAGGCCGCGTGAGCGCGCGCAGGCGCAGAGGCGCGGGGCCGGGCGGCGGCTCGGCTCGGCGGGGCTGGGAGCGGTGACTCAGGGCGCGGGCGGCGGCAAGCCCACAGCCTGCCCGGCCACGCCGCCCGCCGGGGCCGCCTCCGGGAGGGGCGGGGCGGGGAGGGGAGGGGAGGGGCGGGCTGAGGCGCCGGGCAGGTGCGGCGCGGCCGGGCGGCCCTCTGTTCCGGTCCCGCGCAGCCCTGGCCTGGGCACGAGCCCGCCGAGCTGAGTCACGGCTCCGCTGCTGGGTGGCGGCCACGCGGCCCCCACCCGGAAGAACGCGTCCCTTTCCTGAAGCTGGCTTGTCTAATGAGATACGAGGGACAAAAGCCAGGAAGAGGTGGCTTGTATGTTACAGAGCACTTTACTCACCCAGTGCGAGTCCGTAACCAAGGTCCCCCAGCGCTCACACAGCCCGGAGCAGAAGCCGCTGTCCCTGGGGGTGCCACCTCCAAGAGGATCATGATTTTGAGGTTTGAGGCAAAGCTGCCCGCAGAGCCATAGCAGCATAGTCTCGGAGGTTCCTCTGCAGCTGCTCCGTGTCCCCACACCAGCCCCAGGTATAGGGTACAGGCTGAGTGCGCGAGCCTGACGTGATCTGGAGGCCTGGTTCCCAGAGGACGAGACGCAGTAGAAGTGGGGTAAAGCTGTGGAATCTGCGTGTTAACAGGTGTCCCGGGGTTAAGCGGGTGGTCGGCACTCTTCACTTTGAGAGTCACTGATTGTATAGAAGTCTCCCTGAACAGAGATGTGTTGACCGTGAATGGGTGCTGCCGAATGATAAGAAGTTGGGTTTGCCCAAGGAAACACAGCTAGCGTTGGCAGAGGTGAGAGTCAAGCTGGTGTCACCAGGCTCCCAAGCCTGTGTTTCATTTATAAGCACAGGCCCAGCCTACTCTGCAGGGGTTCCCAGGGAGCTTCTAGACCCTTCCTGCCTACTTTTGTGGCATTAAATACCACCTGAAATAAGCAGCCTCAGCGGGCACATGTACACTGCTTGGTTTTCTCAGGAAGTCCTTCCAGTCCGGTATGTGGATTTGGGTATGTTGTAGCTTAAGCCTTATCACCCACTAATGGGCATGAACCCCCAGAAGAGTCTATAATGTTTAGGTAGATGTCACTGCAAATGGATTTTTATATAATCTCTACTTCAGAGGCTGCTCGTCTATCAAAAGAGGATAGAAAAAAAATTCACTGGAAATTAGGTTTAGGAACAAATTTTTCTTCTTGCTTGGCAAATGTTATCCTGTTAACAGCCCCTAATGAAAAAAATGAATGAATAAATTATATTTTCACCAACTTGTTTGAAGCATGGGCACATGACTCTGAAGGCAGACAGCCTTGGCTCAAATCTCAGCTTTCCCACTTTCTAGCTGTAACCTCGGGCAAGTTTCTAACCTCTCTGTGCCTCAGTTTCCTTATCTGAAAAATGTAGTTGTATTTATTTTACACTTAATACTGCCAGATATTATAAGAGATTTGCAAGTGCTATGTAATTTCCACTTTACAAATGAGGAAACTGAGGCTCAGAGAGGCTGGGTACCAAGGTCACCCCATCTCAATGCAGACCTCTTCCCTCCCAGCCCCTGGTCTTGACTACTCCTCTTCATTGCCTCTTGGCTTCTGATTGGCTGTCAGCCATTAGCCATGTATGTAATTATGAGTGCACCTTAATGGCTAACATTTTTTTGAGCAGTTACTATGTGCTATAAACTAGTGTAAACACTTGCATTAGTTAATTTACTTCTTACCATCACCCCATGAAATGGGAATTATCATCTCTGTGTCTCAGAGGAGAAACTGAAATAGAGATATTGAGAAACCTAACTCAGGATCACACTGCTAGGGAATGGGGCAAAGCCGGAACTTAAACATGGCAGTCTGGCTCCCAGGCCTGGGTACCAAACCACTGCGCTGTGCTGCCAGTCACGTTTGTTATGTAAGAGGGAAAGGGGACTCCCCACTCTCCTGACCCGGCAACACAGTGATGCTGGGATTTTTCTTTCTCATCACCACCCTCCCTCTGGGTGCAAAGGCTCCCTGCTATTGGAGAGCTTACGTGTCTTCCAGACCTTTGAAAATTGGTGTTTGTATGGGACAGCTTAGAGGGGCTTTGGAAAAGACTTGAGTACAAGCAAGCAGCTGATCCATTGATGACCTGCAGCCTTCAACAGAGGCCCAGCCAGATCGAAGGATGGACACTCATGTGGCTCCCACCCAGCGGCTGGCAGTGTGCCTGAATGCAGGGGAATGTTTGCAGGCTCAGCTTCCACATGTTACTGGTCTCCTGCATGGCAGCCTGGCACTGGCCCCTGAATGTGTGGCTACTCTCCTCACACTGAGTTTGAGGTGCATGCTAGAAATATGGACATTAAGGGTGATTCTGGTGAAGTCTCAGACATAAATGAGGAACATCTTAGTGAAAACCAGAGGAAAGGTGATCCTCGTTATGAAGTGGCAAAGAACTTGGCTGAACTGTGTTCTGGTGTTTTGTGGAAGGTAGAATCTGTGAGCCATGAAATTGGAATATTTAGCTGAGGAGATTTCTAAGCAAAGTGTTGAAGGAGCAGCTTGGTTTCTTCTGAATCCTTAGAGTAAAATGCAAAAGGAGAGAGAGAAATTGAAGAAAGAATTGTTAAGCAAAAAGGAAACAGAACTTGGAGATTTGGAAAATTCTCAGTCTGCCTTATTGCAAAAAAATGAGAAAGCTTGTTCTGAATAGAACACTAAGGGTGGCTGAACGACCGTTTCATAAAGAGGTCATGGATGTGACTGCAGATCTAATCAGTCATCTCAGGGGAAGCCAGGAGTAGAGATGGATTATACCAGCGAAGATGCTGCCAGTTTGAGCTAAAGGGGACAGAAAGCTGGACAGGATGAAGGAAGGCTGTCGGACTTCTTGGATTCTACAGGACCAGGCCATAGAGCTACTTGGTTGCAAACACACACTGTTCTTCAAGGAAAGGAAAGAAGAACCTGAAGCCACTTTACAAATTATCAAGCTCCCTCAATTTCAACAGCTCCAAGAACCCTGAGCAAGCCTCCCACCCCCTCTTGGCAGAGCCACAGAGGTTGGACTGCCCAGAGGGTCTGGAAGACAGATCATTAAACCAAAGAGGGTTATTCTTGAGCCTGAAGATCTAGTGGAGTTTGCCTTGCTAACTTTTGGATTTGCTTGGGAACCCCTTCCTTCTTTCCTATTTCTCCCTTTTGGGATGGGAACGTCTATCCTATGCCTGTCCCACCATTATATTTGGGAAACACATATCTTGTCTGGTTTCACAGGTTCACGCTGGTGAGGAATTTTGCCTCAGGATGAATTGTACCTTGAGTGTCACCCACATCTGATTTAGATGAGATTTTGGACTTTAGACTTTGGAGTTGATGCTGGAATGAATTAAGACTTTTGGGCTATTGTGATGGTATAAATATATTTTGCAAGTGAGAAGGACGTGAATTTTGGGGGGCAGGGTGGAATGCTATGGACTGAATTGTGTCCCCCCAAATTCATCTGTTGAAGCCCTAATGCCCCCCCCCCCCCATGGGATGGTATTTGGAGATGGGCCTTTGGGAGGTCGTTAGGGTTAAATGGGATTAGTGTCCTTATGAGAAGAGACCAGAGAGGTCCTCCGTGCTCTGACCCCCCCCACCGCCCCCACTTTCCAGTGTGAAGACACAGTAAGAAGGCAGCCGTCTGCAATCCTGGAAGAGGGTTCTCACGCCAACCCTTGCTGGCACCCTGACCTTGGGCTTCCAACATCCAGAACTGTAAGAAAATAAATTCCTGTTCTTTAAGCCACCCATTCTGCAGGATTTTGTTTTGGCAGCCTGAACTCACTTAGACAATTCTCAAAGGCCTGTTTTGAATATGTAAACACCCTGAACTTCCTGAGGCAGCAGGGATGCCTCGAGCAGATTTGGGGAGAAGGCCTGCACAAAGAGCTGGGGGGCAGGGATGGGGTGGAAGGGAAGAAAAGCACCAAGGGTCCTCTGGATTGCCTGGGCTTCTGTCACGCTCCGTGTACTGAGCTCCCCCGGGAGTGACGCTGCCTCTGACCACAAATACCTGGGATGGTGGTTATTTCCGGCTGCCTGTTGGCCAACCAGCTCTTCTGTAGGCAGCCCTTAATCTTTGCTTCTTCAAACCTCCCTCCAAGGACAGAGAAGGATGGTCGCTGCCCCCACCTCATCTTAATGATGGGGAAGCCCCAGTGGGCAGCAACCTGGGAGGCCATCTGTGACCCAGAGCAGACTGTTTCCCTTCATTTAAGCCCCCAGGCCCAGACCTGGCCCATGCACGGAGAAGGACCTGCTCGTCTTGGATCTGGCCGCACCTCAGAGCTTCTCCCTGCCTGTTCCCCTGCTCCATCCAGCCTCTGGGTAGTGCTGCCAATAAGAGGGAGAACTGATTTGAGTTTCACTTCCTCTGGAGGAGATGTGAATAAACAGAAAAATAGCCCAAACTTGGGCAGCAGCTGGGGGAAGAGGAAGGGAGGTAACCAGTATTCATGAAGCCTCTGATAGGTGCCAATTGCTTTACCCACAGGACACAGTGACCCCACAACACCCCTGGGCAAACAGGCAGGGAGAAGTGAAGCTACTTGCCCAAGATCACCCAGCTCAAAAGGGCCAGAGGTGAGCAGGAGGAGAGCCTCCCCTACACTCCACTGCCTTCAAGAGAGAGAGCCAGGGACCAGGACAACTCCCACAGCCATTCATCAGCTTCCGCCATCAGCTTCTATCGCAGGTGCTGGGCCTCCAAGACAGTGCCTTCCTCCCTGCTGCACTTGCCCTGGGCCTGCAGCTTTGGAGAGAATCCTGATGTCTGGGCCCAGCCCTGAGTTCCTCACTTCATGGTCTGGGGTTCTGTCTGGACATTGGGCTTTTTTCTTCTTTTTTTGTTGAGGAAGATTGGCCTTGAGCTAGCATCTGTTGCCAGTCTTCCTCTACTTCTCATGCAGGACACCACCAGAGCATGGCTTGTGCAGTGTGTAGGTCTGCACCTGGGATCTGAACCCACAAACCCCGGGTCACCAAAGCAAAGTGTGCAGACTTAACCACTATGCCACCATTGGGCATTGGGCATTGGGCTTTTAAAGCTTCCCAGTTGATTCTAACATGCAGCCAGGACTGGCTCCACTGCCCTGGGGGATCCACATCCCCTTCATCTGTAAAATGGGGCTAATGGTACCTCCCAAACAGGGTGTCGTGAGGGTGAACTGTGAGGGGCCTCAGCAGGGAGGCCTCGAGAGGGAGGGGCGTGGAATCGCTCATCAGGCTCGGGCAGCCCCTGCCCTGTGCCAGGTGCTCTGCTGGGGCCGGCTGCCTCTGCAAAACCCCTGGGCGGGCTCCTCGAGGGCATGGGGCTCTCCCTGCCCCCCAGCTCCTCTTAGCCCAGCTCCTTACGGCTGTGGAGCCCTCCGCTCCAGGAGACCCAGGCTGGCACACTGTGGCCCCCAGCAAACATCTATTAAATAAACTAATGGATAACATCCTTTGACCTTTGCAACAACTTTGAGAAGTGATCTAGAGAAAGATGCCTACCTCCCCTGAGCCCATAGAAAGAGTGCGGAATTCAGAGTCAGTCAAGGTTCTGTCACTAGCCGTGAGTTCCAGAGGGAGACTCAGTGAAAAGAACTCAAAGCCTTTGTTTCTTCATTTGTGAAGTTGACTTTCTAATAATCCCTTTGTTATAAAGCTATTCTGAAGAGCTGCTGAGACAATATAGGGGGGAGACATTTATATAAACTATTATTTGGTGATGGAATTGAGGTTCAGAGAGGTTAAGTGACTTGCTCATAGTCACACAGCTAGTAAATAGTGAAGCCAGAACTTGAACCCAGGACTAAAACTAATGGGCTTTTCCCACTCTCCACATAGAAACTCAGACCCATATATACTTAAAAAACAAAAATACCCAAATAGGTACCTGGTTGTAAAGAGAGAGAGAGATTCACATATTTGGAGAAGAGGTCCTGGGCTTTGCCGGCCCCTGAGGCTCACCCAAGAAGTAAAGCGTTGCAATGAATTTTGCAGGAAGAAAGAGCTGGGCCTGGGGTAAAGACTTATGGCAGGACCTGCCTGGACTAGAAAAATGAATAAACCAAGGATATTGTTTGTCCAGGACGGAGAAGCTGAGAGGAAACCCCGGTGAAGAAGAGGCAGTTGTGTGGGAGAAGCCTTTGCCGTCTCTGGAGGGCCTTGCAGCCCAAGGGAGGGGCTCTCCGCAGCTCGGAGCCCAGGCCTGGCTGAGGAGGGGGCCAGAAGATGCTCACAAGCACGCCCTGTGCCTGCGGCCCGCTGCCTGGTGCAGCCCCTCTGCGTGCAAGTAACACTAGAGAAGGAAAGACCCTGGCCTTACTGACCACCTGTCCCATCACCTGTGATCGTGGTAGGATTGGGAGTGGGTCTCATACCCCCTAGTGACAGAGGCTTTCTCCACCCTGTTGTCCAGGTGAGGCTCAGAGCCGTTAGGTCACTGGCCACTTCCCAGGGTCCCTCTGTCCCAGCGCACCGTAGCCATTCCTCTGATGCACGCCCGTGCACCTCCACCACAGAATCCACGTGTCCGCTCTCCCCTGGGCTTCCCCGTGGGCTCTGGGGCGGCTGTGTGCAGGGCTGCCCAGCAGGCGGGCTGGCATTACCTAATTGCTGGCCAGCTGCTTTTGTCACCTCATTTTTCCAAGCTTCCTGGCTCTGAAAGCTGCCGCCTCAGACAGACAGCTGAGTCGCCAGCCTTGTTCTGCTTCGCTCCCCTGAAAGGAAGAGATCAGAGGCTGTCGCCGTAATGGAGCAGCCACCAGGATCCGAGGCACAAAGCACTAGGGGCAGTGGATGTCTTTAGCAGGCCACAAAGCCAGGGCCAGTGCCCTACTTACAGCTGTGACTTCCCTTATTGGGAGCTGCCTTCTGCTGTGAGGCGCCTGGGGTCAGCATGCTGAGTGTTGGGACTTTATCCTCCTTGGCCAGCCTCCCCGGGGAGATGAGCCCTTGTTAGAGCCAGCCCCTGGCATCCTGAAAGCCGCTCGTACCTCAGCCTGGAAGACATTTCTGGGTTCAGGGGAGAAGAAAGCAATCAGAGGGATGCACACAGCTGCTCAGCCTGACGGGCCTCCATACCGGGGGTCAGAACCAACTCCCAAAGGCAGGACTGGTGCCCGCCTGGCTCAAAAGCAGCATTCGCCCCTCCCCCTGGACTGAGGCCAGGGCTGCAGCATCTGCCTCAGAAAGAAAAGTCCTCGGAGAGGCTGAGGACAGGCCAAGAGCAACCTGGCCTCATCCTGCCCTTGTGATGGCCTGTAGGTGGGGTGGACAGCAGCCCTCCTGGGCTGTGAGTGTCTCAAGGGCAGGAACTGTGCTCCACCAGACTCAGTACCTTCTGGCACAGGTTAGCATTTACTGGGCCAGGCACTGTTCTGAGTGCTTTCAGTTATTAACCCACTAACCCTCACCTCAACCCCAGGAGGTATTTTTCCCGTTTTTCAGGTGGAGAAACTGACACACAGAAAGATTAGTTCATAAAGCTCGTGAATGAGGAGGCAGGATTTGAATCCAGGCCGTCTGACTCCAGGGCCCATATTCTTTACCATTGTACTACTGTGACTCTCAATGAATAAACAATGGAGAAATGAATGAATATAGGAATGAACTGATGAATAAATAAAGCAATCACTTACTGACTTGTAGAGAGAATGACATTAAAAGCCCCCTGTTCAGGATTACTTCCTCTATTAACAGTTTCAGGGCCTGTGAATCTGCCATTGAAATGCATCCCTTTGAGTTTTAGTCTGTGATTGTCTTTAAAAAATGCCCCTAAGAAATTGGGGTAATGGCAATTATCGCCATGCCCTGTGGCCCCTGGATGTCTAGGTGAGGCCTAAGGCCTGGGGAGAAGTCAACCCCAGGGATGAGGGGAGAGGAACGAGGAGCTGGGCGTTTCTGTGGAGGATGCTGCTGTCGCTGTTCTGCTGTGGTGCAGGGCTGGGTCACCGGCTTTCAAGCCTCTGAGCCAGACTGTGCCTCTTACTGGCTCTGTGGCCCGGGGTGAGCCACATGGCGTCTGGGAGCCCCTGTTTTCTCATCCGTCAGTGGGGAATACCAATAGCTACCTCGCAGTGTGTGATTAAATAAACTGCTATTGGTAATGGGTCCTGCACAGAGTAGATGCTCCACCAATGGGAGCTGTTATTACCCAAATTATAGCCAAAAATTATGTCAGGAAGGATCACCGGCCTGCTCTTCCTTCTTACACTGCTTCCCGCTCTGGAGACCCTATTCCTGGTGTCCCAGGCACTCCCATCATGACCCCCATCTCCCCAGCCCTGCCAGCCTTCTCTCCAGTATCTATCTTTCCAGGTTGTCCCCGGCCTCCCTTCTCCCACCTCTGCCCTGGCCTGGGCTCCCACTGTCTGCCGCGTGAGCTCTGTCAACTCTGAGACATCCAGAGAACACAGCTCGGAACCAGGTGGAAGCAGGTCCTCCTGTAGCACCCACCTCTCCGTTTCCCATCCTTGTCTAGTTCCAACTCTGCCAACTTGGACCTCCAGCTGCCTTCACCTCCACCTCTTTTTTCTCACTTGTTTCTCTCTCCCTGTCCCATGGGTCCCTTTGGCTCGAGTGACTAATTAAATTATGCAGCAGGTGGCAATGAAGACACCCTCTCCCTTTCAAGTGCTCATCACAGGGTCCTGCACGACAGCCCCAGGACACAGGATAGGAAGAGCCCTGGCCCTGGCAGCAGGAGGACCCTTATGCAGCCAGTGACCTGACAGCAGAGAGTGAGGGAAGGCCTGCGGGCGTGCTGTATGTCCTGGGATAGTTCGTTTGTCCATCTGTCACACCAGGACAGAACTCAGTTCTGAACACACAGGAGTGGAGGCAACAGGTACTCAGTGAAGATGACAGTGAAAGTCCTGGTACCAATCCACTCTGCCAAGGACTAAGAATTGTCACTAGCGTCTAGGGAAGGAGTCACAGCTCACAAAACCCGTCTCATAGACTCTGTCACTTGTGCCTCACAACCACCCAGTGAGAGAACAGAGAAAATGGCATCGCTAACCCCATTTTACAGATGAGTCCACATGAGCAGCCCAGGGCCTGGGTCCAGCTCTTCGTTACTTGCAGCTGAAAGCATCCTGACTGATGCGGATTCTGAGACTCTGCTCTCTCTGCATCCTCCTGCTTCCCTGGCCAATGCTTTTCTGTCTCCTTCTAGGTCTTCTCCTCGCTCTCCCCTGACAAGTTGATGTTTCCAAGGCTCACCGTTCTTCTCACTCCCGTCCTCTCCCATCATTTCAATGACATCCTAGATGCTGATGACTCACAAATCCACACCTAGTGCTTTCTCTTGAGCTTCAGACTCAAATCCAGTTCCCCCCATCCCATAGCCACTTTGTTGTTTCTTTTGCTGGTTCTAATTTCTCTGCCTCCTCTTAATGTTGGGGTTTCTCAGAGCTCATTCCTGGGCCCTTCTCCCTTTTCTAGGTGTACTTTCCCCGGGGTTACCTCATCCATTCATGTAACTTTAAATGATATTTCTGTAATGAAAACCCAAGTTTGTACCCAGAGCCCAGCGTTCTCCATTGAAGTCTAAGCTTGAAAATGCAGCCAACAGTTGACCATACGTCCTTGGAATGCCTCACAGAGCTGTCACACCCATATGCCCAGAACCCAGCTCATCTGCCTTCCTTAGAGACGGCTCCTCTCCTGTGCGCTCCAGCTCAGCGACTCCCACCACCGTCCTCCCAGACCAGAGCCAATGTATTATGCAAGATGCCTTCTTTTTCTCATCTTGCACATTCCAGGAACTACCAAGTCCCTCTAATTTTACTCCAAAATACCCCTCTCCTCTGCCCGTGCTCTTCACTGCTGCCTTGGTGATGGCTGCCATCCACACTGCAGTCCTCTCCCAGTTGACTTAGCCCCTCCTCTCTTGCCTCCCTCCAATCCATTCCCCACCCTGCAAGCAGGGTGATATTTCTAAAATGCAAATCTTACCGTGTCACTCTTCTGCTCAAAATTCTTCGTTAACTCACCATTCCCCTCTAGCAGCAGTTTTCACACTGCTTTTAGCATAAGGCCTCCAATATTACAATAAATTAAAGCAGAATAGTAACAATGGATGTTCAGGAGGGACATCTGGAGACCCTCTTAGACTCTCAGCTTTCCCACTCCTTCCCCCGGGCCAAAACACACACGCACATGCATGCATACACATACGCACACACAAGTGCACACATGCACACACACCAGTTCCCAGATTACTTGTGTTCAAACTGTAAATACCATCTGGTCTGCCCTACCTGGGTGTACAGGAGGCACCTCTACCACATCTCTGGCAACATCCAGCATCTATTGGATACTCTCAAATGACGTGCATCTCCCTACTTTGCATGATCCATTTCAGGATCATATTTTGAAAGTCAAAAATCATTGACGTCATTTTTGTGACTATGTGCAGTTTAGGGCCCTGGATAACCTGTAACGTGATACTAGCAAGGCTTGTCTCACTTGCCTCTGTAGGACGTGGGGGTTCTAGTACAATGGTGCTTCAGTGTAGACAGAAAAAGGAATGCTTCTGAGCACCCATTGCACCCATGCACAGTGCTATCTCAGCAGTCAGTTGCTGGGATCTATTTAGGCAGTTGGGGCTGAACTGCTGGACTGTGAGACCAGGCTAATATGAACCATAGAGACAAGGCCTCTTTCCGGGTGCCTGCTCACCAGAGAGGCTCCGGCCACTCTGCACCTCTGGGAGGGAGGATATTGTCACTGCACTGTGTGGGCTCTGCGACATGGACCACCCCAGGTTCAAACTCCAGCTCAGCCACTTAAGAGGCATGTAACCGGGACTAGCTGACCACTCGAGCCTCAGTTTCCTCACCTGTGAAATAGATTGAAATAGATTGTCGTTAGGATAAGGACAATGTCTATCAAGTGCCAGCTGTTTGATCGTTTCTCAAGAAGTGGTGGTTGTTAGGGGACACCATTCACTAGCCCTTCCTCACTCCTCCTAGGCTCTGAAGAAGGTGCTTCTGGACATTATGAATGAGTGAATTCACCCCCTCACTGCTCTCTGAGGTGGGACAGCGACCTGACTGATGCGTTTGCACATCCCTGGCTTGAGGTCAGCTGTCCAGGCAGCATGAGCCTCCACAAGTGGAGGGAGGTCTGCCATTTGGGGGTAGTTCACCTGGGGTGGGAAGGAGGCCCCTGCATCTAAGCACTCAATCCAGAGGGATGTTTTCTGTTGGCATCTTGACACCCAGTAGTGGCTTTTAGAGGAGTGAGTTCACGCAGCAGGTGACAGTGTGTACAAGGTGAGTGTCAGGTGTCTTTTTGGTTCTGAGAACCTTTGATGCTGAGTATGTCACATCATATGATGCTGAGAATGTTAGTGACATCAGAAGGAGGTGAGTCTGGTTCACCCATTCTAACACCCAGGAAGCAAAAACAGCCCCTCATCCCATTGCAAAGGAGCAGGAGGAAGCGTGGAATAGGCCAGGGACAAAACAGGACCCTGGTGTCCTCCTGGACATGCCCTGGGGCTCCATGGCAGAGGGAGCTGATTCAGGCAGAGTACTAAGCACACAGCCTGGCTCGGGGTAAGTCAGTGTTGGCCTATGATGTGCTGTGTCGGGAGCGCTTTTTTGGGAGACAATAAAGGGATTATAAGTAGAACTGAAGCCAGCACAAAATATAAATCTGGTCATGGCATCCCCACTGCCAGCAGCCTCAGTGACTTCCCACCACCTTAGGAGTAAAGACAGGCCTCAAGCGCAGCCTGAAAGCCCACACGTTACCCTACTTAGCTCCCTGCTCCCCACTCACATCCTTGCTCACTTGTGTCAGCCACATGGCCTCATTCCAGTTCTTCAAGGGCCTCTTCCTTCCTCAGGAAGTAACCTCTGACATTTCCTGGTTCCCCAGATGCATGTCCCTCCTGCGTCCATCTCTTCTCCAGAGGCCAGGGAGAGTAGTCCCCAGGAGGGAGCCACCAGTCAGCAGCCTGCTGTTGGGACCTGTCTGTTCACCCGGTAGAGACACCACCTGGGAAGGGAGAAGCCATGAGAAGGGAGGGGTCTGGGGTTCCATGACTGCTCAGTGACTCCATCGTTTGCGTGCTCCTGCACGCCCACAACTGGATCCTCAGTGCACCCCTGTCCCCCGTTACTGCCTGCTATGGGGGGAGGGGCAGCAGCACTGGGGCACAGCTAGTGCCCGAGTTGCCTGCCTTTGTGGCTTGTCCATGCTTGCTGTGCTCATCAAGATGACTAACCTTGTCCAACAGGCTGAGAAGGAGCCGTGGAATTGTCATGAGGGCAGGGGTCTGAAAAATGCTTTGGAAACGGTATATTATGGGACTACATTCCTATTGCCATTGGGGACAAAAAGATCTGGGAGGATTTCCCGGGGACTTACAGGTAGAGTGGGGAGAAAAGAAATGGCCTAGGGTGGCCCTGTTCACGTGGTAATTTACAGAATCCATTAGGTGAGTGTCTCTGATAATCCCAAGGCTTTCTCTACTTGCAAGATTAGGTAGAAAATAAGAGCATTTTCTCCAAGTGATACAAGTAATTAGTATTAATAGTAATTAACAGTAATGACATGTCAAGGATCGTGCTAACCACTTTACAGGCCTGGTCTCATTTAATGCTCACTGCGATGCTGTTATCTTCTCCATTGTATACATGAAGAAGCCGAGGTTCAGGATGCTAGACGACCTGCCCAAGGTCACAAAGGCAAAGCCAGGGTGCAAACCGGGGTCGCCTGACCCTTGAGCACACACTCTCCTTCCTTGTGCAGAATGACTCGGACGACTTTCGAAGAAAGAAAGGGTTAACCCGGAGCCAGATCCGCTGCGCTTCAGATCGGGGGCAGAGCTTCAGCAGTCCCAGTGACCAGGCCTCACTGCAGACCAGACAGTTGGAGTCAGAATCCTGGGGGGAGGTGGAGTCTGAGCGTGCATGTCTTCTAAACGGGCTCAGGTGGTTCCAGGACAGCTAGTTTGGGGCTAGGTTGGTGACAAAGGGCACTGGAAGCTGCATGGGGGAGAGGGCTGTCCGTGCGGATCTGCTCCTTGCCCCCATACCTCCGCCAGCCCCTTCCCCCCAGGACGGCTGAGCAGGGGCCGGGGAGGCTGACTTTCACCCTGACCTTGCATAGCACTGCCTCCCGAGACCGCTCAGAGGGTCCCTCCTGCACACTCTGATTGACAACATCCACCCGCAGCTGGGCTAACTAGCACAACCCCTGGGCCCAAGAGGAAAAGGAGCAAAAAACCTCCTTTTTCTTTAATTGGGTCAAGAGAAAAACAGAATTATAAAAAATGCAAGTCACGGTTAGAACTGTCATTTTTCAGGACGCTGCTGTGCTCTCTGTCTCCACACGTGAGAGCTGGTACTGCAGAGTTGAGGATGGGAAAACAGGGACCACAATGGTATCGACCGTCCAACCACAGAGGGCTGTCTGGGTGAGGGGCCCTGTGCTGGCCGTGTTCGTGCGTTGTCTCAGCCTGGCCTTGTGGACACACCGTGGGGGAGTTATTACTAGGGCCTTTTGACAGATGAAGAGGCCAAACCTAAATAACTGTGGCAGAGGTAGCACAGGAGACTGGCACCAGCTCTGTCCGGGCCGCCCCCTGGATACCTCAGAGGCAGGTTCTGCTGTGGGTGATCGGGGAGCCACCAGGCCCTGCCTGCCTCACTCATCTCCTTCTCCTTGCCCTCTCAAGGTTCACAACATGGGCTCCAGTGACCCCAGACCTGCAGATCTGGGGAGGTCAGTCAATGCTGGCCACACACAGAGTGGCACCCTGCACCAAGGCGGCCTCTACTGCTGGTTCGCTCTGAGTTTTTGAGAAATCAGGAGAGGACATTCCTGGGCCTTCACGGAGTGGGTGTGAAGTTCCAGGGCTGGGAAGGGTGGCATGTGAATTCTCTGGGAGTCCTTGATGTGCCAATGCAGCCCGAGCTCAGACTCTCCCTGAGACGACATTCAGGGAGAACTCCCTGGGCTGTCTGGCTCTCTGGCCCTCTCTTGACCAGCCTTCCCACATCCCCACATGCGGATACAAACCTGGCAGCATGGGAAAGGGAGGCCAGTGTGGGGGCAGAGGAGTCCCACCTCCAGTGTCGCACACTGTGCCACACACATCATTTTCTTCCTTGCAGTAAACAGTATTCACTCCTTCATCAGCTTGCATTCTCAAACACTTGGGCTGAGTTGGGGGCTGGGGCTGCCAAATGCAGAGCCCCGGAGCTGGTGGAACTCACAAGTTCGTGGAACAAATAGTTACAAGTCGTCATGCCAGATGATGGTTGCAGGACCAGAAGCATATCCAAAATACAACGTTAGCCCAGAGAGGCCCTGATTAACTTTGGGGGGCAACCCAGGAGACTCCAGGAAGATTGTTTGAGCAGGATGTGACCTTTGAGCACACGGGCCAAGGTCCACCTCCCTTCTGTCTGGAGCCCCATCTGGGCTTTTCCACCATCCCGGGCTCCCCTACTCAGGATGCAGACAGCACGTCTTCCTGCCTCTCACAGTTGCTCCCCTAATTCTGCTTTGTTCACCTGTTTTTTGTTCCTGGCTCCCTTCGTTCACAGCAGGGACTGTCTTCTTTCCCCTAGAGGGTTAAGAAAGCATCGAGCATCCTGGAACTCTTAATAAACACTTATCGAGTTAGTGACTGAAAGGTGATCGGAGGGTTCAGACCTCTGAATTTGACAGCCCCTTCTGGGCAAGGTGTGGGAATGCAAATGAGGGCAAAATTCGCGAGAGGGAACTGTGTTGCTGTAATCGATGCTTCCATCAGAGAAACAGTAAGGAAACCTTTACTCTGGGGAAGGCAGTGGGAAAGGTGGACAGCTTTTAAATTTTTCCCGAGCTGGCTTTTCACAATGTAAATTATGACCTAAGTGTAGTCAAATATAACTGTAAAATTAATTTCAAAGTCAAATATTGGGTTGAAGATTATGTGCCATTTGAGGTCCTTAAAACTACTGCTCTGTTCTGTAATATTGGAGAGGAAGGAGTAAGAGCACATTCTGTTCAAAGAACAAAAATGCCCAGAGAGGTGATATTTTCCATCTTTTGGTTCTAATTTGAGGGAAAAAAGGCAAGAAAATAAGTGGATATCAAAATTGCTTTTTAACGTTAATTTTGATCATGGTACCAAACTGTACTAGCAAGCTTATAGTAAAAAGCAGAGATTCCCTTCCCTCACCATGTTTCCACCCTTGAGTCCTACTTTTTAGATGCAAGCACTTTCGACTCTTTCGGACATTTTTCTGGTATTTTCCTCCATAGTTTTAAGTAGTATACTTCTTGATTTTTTCCACTTTAGGCACGTAATACCTTCCTAGTATAGAAGAGGGAAATTTAGCTTTTACATTATATACACACATGCACACATTCACAATCAATCTTCAATATAGTATTTCACTTTTTTTAGATAAATCAATATGGAAAATTTACGTTGATATGCCTAGGTAAATATTGCTAAATATTGTTCGTAGCTAAGCCCCAGAGATTGCCATAATTACATTTCCTTTCAAGTACAATGATTTCCCTAGTGTTAATAATTGTCTAGTTTGTCACATTTGCTCAGGTTTTTAGATGTCTCTCACTAACTCCTCCAACTCCTTGTTAAACTCTTCTCAGCATAGGCAAACACATGAAGCAGGCTATCAGATCTTTAGTCCTTGTTATTGCTTGAATGCAGATATCCCATGTCCTCCATCCTGTGTCTCCACTCTGTACTGAGAGCACTCTAGACCTACTGCACCGTGTTGCCCTGGGACTTCACTTCTCTCCTGTGTTGGACTAGATGTTTCCTGAGTTGCTTTCTGTTGGTTTACTCCCTTGTTTTGTTGAAGCACATCCTTTAGTAGCTTCTTGAGAAAGGGTCAATGGAGACTTAATTTGAGATTTTTCTTGTCTGAAAAATGTCTTTAGTTTATCGTCACATTCAGTTGGCAGTTTGGAAGTCATTTTTCTTCAGAATTTTGAAAACATTAATCCATTGTCTTCTAGTTTCCAGCGTGTTCGTGAAAAGCCTGAATACCATTCTGATTTCTGATTTCTGATCCTTTGTTTTTCCCTCTGGAAGTTTTTATGATCATCTCTTTATCCCTCAAATTTCACAATGATTTATTTATTTTTTATTCAGTGCACTGGGTACTTGGTCCAAATTTTCTTATATCATGTCTTTAATAATTTTCTACTCTACATTTTGGCTCACCTTTCTTTCAGGAACTCCTATAAGTTTGATGTTGGATTTCCTGGATTGATTCTCTGGTTTCGTCTTTTCTCTCCTATTCTTTGTCTTCTTATTTGTCTTCTCTTTGTCTTCTTATTCTATTTCCTAGGAGATTTTTTTCAACCTTACTATTCAATGCTTCAATTGAAATAGTCATTTCTATTATGAACTTCTTGATATCTACAAGTGTTTTCTTATTCTCTGAATGTTTCTCTTTTTTAATCTTGTTCTGTTTTCATGGATGCAATATCTTCTAATTCTTCAAGGATATAAAGTTTAGTTTGTTTGAAGTTTTCTTCTGTTTCTGCATTATTTCAGCTTGAGGACTTTCTGAGTTTCTTTTTCTGTGTGCTTAGTTAGGTCTCTGGCATTTGGTTACAGGCTTTCCTCGCATGTCTGATGACCCTTGGCTTTCTCTTCATATTTAAGACTGGTGCCCTTTAAAGCTATTTTGGGCTCTGAGTATGTATTAATTATAATTCTTAAGAGCCTGGGCTCGGGAGTTAGCTAGACCTGTGTTCAAACTCTGTTTATTCTTCAGCTCTGTGACCTTGGGTGCATGGCCCGTCCTCTGTGCGCCTCGTTTGCTTGTATGTTACAGTGGAATGGAGACCATAGTGACGCCCAGGGGAGCAGGACGAGGCTCTCTCAGGGGCTGATGCTGCACGTGCAAGACTCTAGAGTGGGCGCCTCCTTCAGTCTTGGGCCCCGGGCCTCCCACTTGCCTCACCCCCGTCCCAGCCCTCCTAACGACCTCGCAGGGAACACCAGGGCTTCGGCAGGACAGTGACGTGTAGGAGCTGGGCCAGAGCTCGCATATGGGAAACGCTCAGTAAATATAAGCTGTTATTGCAGATCAAGTGATGTAGCATTTACTAATGTGAAACATTTATTTACTCTCCACTGTGCGTTTGCACTATGACTATGAAGTCAGAAGATTAGAAAAGACAGCAAAAAGGAGAGGGGACCAAAAAAGAAAGATGTGAAGATAAGATTATGATGATAAAAACAGAGAAAAAGGGAAAAGAATCAAATTCTAACTAAGACAGGCTAACCTGGGAGACAGAAAACAGTATGCTGCTCATTTATATTGATGCTGAAGCTGCAGCTGGAAGGATTTTGTGGGTGAAGAGAAATGCCTCGATCATAAGGAGGAATGAGTTCATAAAGAAAATCCGGAATCCCTTTCTCTTTGGAAAAGCAGGAGTGATTGATTCTTTGAGGCCTGCCTGAAGGAAGAGAAGCAGCCTCAGGCCCGAGAGAAAGTGACCTTGTATAATTTGTGTCCCCTTGATTCTAATACATGCCAGTCACTGCTGCTCTTCTCCCCATTTTAATGGATCATTAGGCTTCCGGGTGAGGGCCTCCGGGTGGTATAAGCCAGGAGCGGGGTGAGTTTATAGGTCTGAGAAATAAGGAAACCCACACTGGAGACTCCTTCTGTCCTTAAGATTATGGGAAACCATTATGAAGAAGGAAAGACAGAAAAGCTCAAACGCCAGAATGAGGTGGAAGAATAGGAGAAACTCAGGAAAATTATAAAAGAGCCCAAGGAAATTGTTTCTTCTCCAACTCATTGCCCTCCCCAGTCTCAGAGCTCTGCGTTCCCTGGCTCGGTTTGACTTTGGTGCCTACAGTGATGAGCGATAAACTTGTGTGGGTGCCCTGATGTCTTCTCCCCTGTGGGCCTACATGCTGGGGTCTGCCTTCCTGGACAGGGATGTGCGACAGAAGCCACGGGGGGCTGAGAGCAGGAAGGCTGAGTGTGGTGGAGAGTGGGAGAGAAGACATCACCCCTCCTGGGCTGCCGCAGGAGGCACAAGAGAAGAAGGGATGGCACAGAACTTCCACCAGCAAACGGGAAGGAAAGGTTCCGTCACAAACCATTTGACCTTCCTGGAATCCCATTGTTTCTTTGTGTTTTGGTGGATTTAGGGAAGTGAATGAAAAATCAAATCTGTTTAAAAGTAAAATAAAGCATACTGCAGGGGGTGAGGGAGGGGTTGCTCTGCCCCTGGACCCTTCCTGAGAGGCCGGGCCTCCTGGGAGGAGGTGAAGCTGCTAAGCTTGTGTGCTGGGCAAGGGGCGGACTGTCTGCCTCGTAAGGGTGAGCCGTAATCCAACAGGAGCCTTGTCCTTATAAAAAGAGGAAGAGACACCAGGAACGGGCGCACACAGAGGAGAGGCCATGAGAGGACACTGTGAGACGACAGCCATCTGCAAGCCAAGGTGAGAGGCCTCAGGAGAAATCAACCCAGCCAACATGTTGATCTTGGACTTCCAGCCTCTCCAGGTGTGAGAAAATAAATCTCTGTTATTAAGCTGCCCAGTCTGTGGCACTTTATTATGGCAACCTGAGCAGACTAAGACAGATATAATAACCGGAATCTCTTCAAATTCTCTTCTAATTTCACTATTTCCTCATGAAATCAGAAGCAGTGTCACTAACTGAGAGTGAGGATGGGGTGGCCTGTTGGAGTTTGGAGGACAGCGAGGGAAAAAACAGTCAGGCAGGAGAGGGAGAGAATAGACGGACCAGAGAACGTGGTGGGGTATCCAGGGAGCACTAAGGGCTCACTTGAATTTATTTTTATTTTTTATTTATTTACTTATTTTTGAGGAAGATTAGCCCTGAGCTAACTGCTGCCAGTCCTCTTTTTTGCTGAGGAAGCCTGGCCCTGAGCTAACATCCGTGCCCATCTTCCTCTACTTTGTATGTGGGACGCCTACCACAGCATGGCTTGCCAAGCGGTGCCATGTCCGCACCTGGGATCCGAACCAGCAAACCCTGGGCGCCGAGAAGCAGAACGTGCGCACTTAACCACTGTGCCACCAGGCCGGCCCCTCACTTGAATTTAAAACAGCACCAGTCAGCATGTTTATAATCTTTTTCTCCATCCATCTGTGGGGATGGGCAACTGAGGTGCGGCGGGCACAGGTGTGGAGTCGCCAGAGGGTTGAATTCTCCCGGGGCTGCGGTGTTGTGAGTACCACAAAGCTGGAGAAGGGCAGGGAAGTTAATGCGTGTGGGAGGGAGTTGTTACAATGACTGGCCATGAAATTTAAGTTGGATAAGGAGGAAAGAGAGAACACGAGCACAGTGAGAACATCCTAAAATGTGGTAGGATCAGTGATTTTAGTCCAGTTAAGGAATGGAATGGTAGGAATTGGGGTTCTGAGAGAAACAAACAGAGCTGAGAAGTTAGGAGTTGGTTGAAGAAGAAGTTTGGGAGACTTTTCTGTTCTTAATAACAGGCAGGTCTAGGGAGGGAGAGGAGAGAAAGGAACCAGCGGACAGGAGGGACCATCTCTATGGATACTGAAATCACCAGAATTGCGGTCAGGGAAGTTGAGAGGGTGACTGAGAGGCAGGGGCTCTATCCTGAAGACAAGGGGAGTGACCCCAGGTCAGTGGGTAGCTGTACCTAGGTGTAGCCCAAGGACATGAGCTTCAACTCTGTGGTCTAAGGTCCACAGTATTGTAGGTGACCCTAAGGATATAGTCCAGGGGTCAGAGAGCTCATTGGTGACAGGCCAGAGTCACACAGCTGCCCCTAGTAACTTGCTGTGGCCCCAGATACGCACACTTTCATTGCTCACACAGCCCTTCTCTGAGTTTCTCCTTCACCAGCATGTCCTGAGGGCCCACAGTGCGGGACCTTCTGGGAGGGTCAGAGATGAAGATGGAGCCCGGGCCCTGGAGGAGCGCAGGGCTCCCGAGCCCACCGCCCAGCTTCTCCCCACTCACACTGTCCCGGGAGGTGAGCTGAGCAGACGCAGCTTCTCTTTTTCTCTCTCTCACACACACACGCACACACACACATAAAATGCATTCAAGCAGTCTAATAAGAGAAGTCTACCAGATTTTGTGCTTAAAATGATCCTTTCTGGCTTTTAGGAATACACAATCGCTTATACAATAAAGACTGGTTTTCTCCCCCACGCCAGGGTTTTGATTATGTGAGTATATCGTGCTTTTCACTCAAACATCCAACAAAAGTTCATTTGACTGAAAAACAAAAAACCTCTCAGCCTGCCAACAAGTTACAACCATGAATCAAACTGATGAGGAGGCAAACCTCCTCCCTTCTCCCCCTCGC